TTGTCAAAATCAATAAAATTATATTAACCTTCTTTACAAATTGTGTTAAAAATAAGGATAATAAGAAATTCTGATACACCATTACTAAAAAAGAATTTCTCCAAATTGTAAAAATAAAACAAGGGTTAAACACTGCCTTCAAAAATGACTCAATATTTTAGTAATTATTCAAGCAGCGACCAAAATTCACAAATTGTAGCATATTACACAGTAACACATTTAAAGAATATGAACATTATTCATTGGTACATTCAAACTATTTATTATTAAAATAAATCAAAAGGGTAGAAAAACTTAATGCGAGTGTTTATTACCCCTTAATGTGTTAAATAGTCACAAAATGTACACTACTGTTTATGCCAATTTCTTTGTCTGTTTTGATGTTACTAAGAGCTCTTATTTCTTTACAAGTGTGCTACTAGTGCACATTGTATCACAATTAAAGTTAAATTACACCAATAGTGGCAAAATAGACTGAAAAAACTGGTAATAACCGAAATGCTTTTTAAAATGTTTGGTTGGTACCTATCTACCTATAGGCACTGAGTATACTCAGTGCATATCCGGAGGTACCGCGTGTGGCATTTTTGTTCAGTTAGATTTTAATTACGGTGAATCCATAAGGGGACATTCTTATTTTTTGGTAAGTATTATACTTCATTTTTCTTTAAGCCTTCATACTCAATAAATACCAATATGTTAAAAGGATTTTTATAACAGAAAAATGGATTACTGATGAATTCTCAAGATAATTCATTGCTTACAAGTTGACAGCCAGTAAAACATTGCATTAATCTAAAACTTTTACGTTTTAAGAAACCATTTTGCTTAAGCCAGCCATACGACTTAAATATAAAATTATATTTTAAAAGGCACCGATTCTGATAATTGTCATAGATTTTTGTTCCAAATAAATGTTTCTCTTTATTTACCTTTTCGTTTTATTCACTACCACCAATAGGTTTTACTCAAATAATAGTGTTAATTTACACTAGAAGTTTGCACTAAAAGAGTAAAAGTACCTTTCCAAAATTAGAACTTTTCCAAAGTAGTGTTAATTTACACTGAACAAAAGTGGGATTTTAGCCAGGAAGTGTAGAAGTACACGATTTTAGGTAAATTAACACTTTTTAATACAGAGTAAAATTACTTTATCCTCAGTGCTATAGTGTTAAATCATACTTGCTTACTTGGGGAAAATTACACTACAAATTAACTCTAATTGTAGTGTTATAAAACAACACTATTTAGTGTGGACCTGTGTGAACTCTAATTAGTGTTGCTTAGTGTTGCTTAGTGTTGCTTAGAGTTGATTTTTTTTTACTGATTTGTAATTTTACTCATCCTTTGTTTTACAAAACAATTGTAATTTTACAAAAAAAATTACAGTGTACATGATTAAAATGGTATATAGTAAAAATGCAAATTGGAACCTGTTTAGTACTTTAGTACTTTGGCTAAGTGTAATATTATAACAAATGACGTTGTATTTTAAAATTGACTAAAAAAATTTAATGGTTAGTAGAAAACTATAAGGTGAGTGATCATCGCTTAAAATGGAGCATATTTCGTTTAATATTTCAAGAGAGAGAGAAACTATGATATTAAACCTATTGACGTACATTTTACATTTCAGGTGAATTTATTCATTTGGTAGCATCAAAAAGTGGTATTTAATATGAAAGCCATTGTTTCCATTGTCAGGGCTGGCGGAATACTCGCGATCTAACACGTGGATATCATTCAAAACGAGAACGCTATAGTGCACAAAATCTGGCTATACATCAAATTTGAATGGACCAATAATTACAAAGAGCAGATAGGAATGTACAGGCCACACACGGTTAGCTGAAGTAATTTATTGAAAATATTTCGCTATTATTATGCAAAATTTAATTTACTGCACAGAGAAAAATTTGTTGCATTTGGTTTCATAGTTATATGAATTTGTTCAACAAATTGGTGCTAAAAACGTGACAGAAACAATTTTTGCTACAAAAATTTTGTAAGGATAGAATTAAGTTAAAATAAACTGAAAACATAACACAAATTACAAACCATGATATTTGATCACATCATAATTATTGATTTATTCCAGTCCCTGAACAATTTTGCAAATACCTACCCACCTATTCGGAAAAATAATATTCAATAATTACTCACCAGAAATGTGGAACTAACCTCACAATGATACACTTCCTAACACTAACTAAAACAGCAAACTGATGATGCAGATTGCAGTTGAGCGACCGGCCGGCGTCTTATTTCAAGCGGGAAATCATTTCATTGGTTATCTTGGGTGGTGTGATGCTTCACTCCCGAACAAATTGTCCAATATTGTAAAATTTATATTCTAATTCAGTTATACTAAATTTATACGAATTATTTAAAAAATTGTACAAAAGAGTAACATTTATTTTTAAAATATTTTTTACAACAGGTTTCAACTCTTTTCTTTTTCTCTGTGTGAAACGTTTAATCTTTAACAACAAAAAGCATACGTTTTGAATCAAAAACCAAATCCTTAATTACAACCACCAAACTTTTGTAATAAAGACTAAAATAATATTTTTACTTAGTTTAACTCATAAGATCCCAAACTTAGTTCATAAACTTTCCTATAGCCGCCGGTGCATTTATACTTCTTAGTAGGTTAATATATTACACCAATGCATATCTATCAACTCTACTATACACATATTAAACGAATACCATTATACATTTCACCATCCTATTACTTGGCCCTTAGGTGTGTTATAATGCTGCTCTTATCTGTGAAAATTTATTTTGTGGGGCGTAAAACAAATAGGAGGCGTAAAATGACATTACTGTGGTGTTTTTATCGAAACTCACCCTTAAATTTAATCAAGATGCACTTGCACGGAGGGTGTGTCAGCAAACTTGATAGACGCATCTAAAAGATGATAATTGAAAAAGAATGGTGAAACTTTAACAGAGTTGATGCACAAAAATAATAAATGTCAAAGTGTCTGTCTAATACGTTGGATATTTGATATAACGTAGCTCATACACTGAATATTTTTTACACAGCATTGCCATAGGTTCTAAAACAAATTTACAAACTGACATACCTAATAATACACAGAAAAATGGTTAATTTAACTAACCCAACCCATATTTATTTAAATCAACTGTGGGAAGGTTAATATAAACAAAGATTAGTTTGACGGTACTAAACCAGATAGTTATTTTATTTTTTTTAAATTGGTTAAATTAACCCAGAAAACTTTACTAAATATGCTTTTTTATAAAATAAGAGTTACTTCAACCTTAAGCACTCTGTTAAAACGATTAAAATAATTTGCCGTGCATTCCTGATTGCATAGTATGTACCGATCGCGGCAAAGGCAGTGTGGATCACGTGATGTTCTTAAATCTCGCCTCTGTTGACTTACACGAAGAGTATATAAGCTCAGGTAGGCCTTGGTTTGGTGTGACACTACAAGTTGTTCGATACTAAAGAGACCTTAAATAGGTGGAAACAGCTGTCAATACTTGAAGTTGGTGGAACGCACTAAAAACATTATCTCTAGGGGGGTGAAGGTTCAATTTTCTGGAATAATACCACTGGTATTGTACTAGTAATGCGTTAAGGAACTTCCTTGTTTCTTGAAGAATATAAGAAAATGGATTAAATAAATGTTTCTACTCCAAATATTTCAAGATCTTATTTTTATTGTATATATAAATACGCCAAACTCTATGGGTACGTTAACCTAGTTAGGGTAACAAATTATATTGAGTCAATTCAACCAAATGCAGCGACATATACTCCATTCTTAAGTGGAATGGACTATAGTACATAAATATGTATATCTATATACGATATTCACAATTCCCCTAAACTTCCAAAGTTATCCTCTCGACTCGTATACAAACAACTTGAGCGTATTTGTTTTCTATGCGTGAGGTCCCCTTTCAAACACTCCCAAAACATGTGTAATACCTGTCTTTATGATGGATTGCGGCAATAAACACTAATACCAACCGTAGGGAACAAAAATTCCTCCCCCACGTCATTTGCTGTCCCTTCTACGGCGACAGATTAAGATCTTCGTGAAGTACATGCCACGAAAAGCCTTATAGCGCCATCATTTTTATTACGTCTAATGGATGGGTTATTTACATGGTGCGTTCTATGCAAATGACGGTAATAATTTAACGCTTGGTGCTGAGAAACAGAACTGGAAAGTTAATTATTTTTCATATAGGTTAAATAATATTTTTCTTGCTAGTGTTTCAATCATTTATTTATTTAGTCGTATGGCACAAAAATGTAGAACATGCAATCACAAATCAAATCACACAATGAGTAAAAAATCTTTAAATTAAAGCCTCTCATGCGAATGCACCTTGCGAGCTTTTTTCAACGAAAAATCTTTGATGATTTCGCTGAAATCCAGCTCCCGCAGTAAATCACTTTCAATGCTAACTAGGGATAACTTTGATAGGGTGTCCCATCGTAGTTCTTGGCCTATATTTTATAATTTTCATTTTCAAGAATTTAATAATAGAACAGCTCCTTAGATATAGGTCTTTTTTATAGTCTGTTTTGTATAAGTTTATCAAAGATACAAATTAAAATTCATCTGCTGCAGTATACAAATTTGCAGCATCCATCTCTAGATGATTAAGAAATCCAAATTTTGAACGTAGGTACATCATCGTATGCATGCAATCTTTCAGTAAGAGAAACACATAGCTGATCGATCACTGGGATAAAGCCTGACACTTTAAATTTATCTTTTTGTGACAAGTTAGCATCCTGTGCTTTCATATAATCGAGCGGATCCAACCTCACATTTCCAGTTCTGGTGCGAGATTGTACGTACTGATCAGTACTTGATATTCCTTTAGCAGCTTCTTCGTATTTGTCAAACTCGTCTCTTTTGGATTCAACAAATAATTTCAGTGATTTCAATGCATGCATTGCAGGCTCAAGAGTTATCTTCGGGTCCTGCAAGATCTTGTTTGTAGCGTTAAATCGCTCCAAAATGTCGTTTCAAAAGATGGCAAATAGAGCGGTTTCGAGACAACTCATCTTCTCCTAAAGATGCGTTGCTTGCAATTCTCACGATCTCTTTTTGCTCCTTATCACAAGATATGCTGGTAAGAGCTTCTTTGATTTCAGAATAACCGTCGGCAATAGCTTTCGTAGCTTCAGCTCGACAAGACCAGCGTGTATCGCTAAGCCTTTTCAACACGTAAAACTGTTTGTTTCTTTTTTCCGATAATTTTTCAGTTAGAATTCGGTATATTTCTGTACTTACTGTAAAAAATTTATATAAATTCTGAACAAAATCAAAGAATTGTACAGCCGATGTGCAAGCATTAGCAGCAGCCTTTCCAACTAAATTAAGAGAATGACCACAACATGGTACAGATACCGGCAAAGGATTTTTCTCAAAAATCAGAGCTTGCATGCCTTTGTTTTTGCTTCTCATATTTGCAGCATTATCGTATGATTGCCCGCGACAATCGAAATTGTCATTTTGATGGTGGCCTACAAATTTTAGTAAAGCGTTTGCTGTGGCTTCACCAGTATGGCCACAGTTTGATAAAAAGGTCAGAAATCTTTCCTTCGGCATCGATCCTTCAATATATCGAACAACTATAGTCAGTTGATCGATATGAGATTCGTCGGGCGTGGAGTCCACTGACACCGAATGATACTTAGATTTTTTTATTCTTGATATTATTTCATTGAGTACTTTATCACCCATGGAACTGATCGGTTCTTCACAAATCGTAGACGAAAGGTTTTTTTTTAAATACAATTTATGCGGGGGCCCCTCTCATGTGGAGGCCCCGGGCAGTTGCCCTGATTTCCCTCCCTTAAATCCGGCCCTGCTTCCTTAATCCCGCAAATTGTAAAGGGATCGGGTGGATCCTGGATCTGGCAACCGCGCACAGGTCTACACATTTAAATACGACTTCGCGAATTTTATTGTCAGACGGTAAATCTTTGTTGATTGATGATAGGAAGGGTGCACCATCGTTTCAGACTAATTTAATGAAGAAAGTGAATATTTCGGCAGATTTATTTTGATTAAAACTGGATTAATTTTGATTACAGTATAATAAACAATCTTGAATTTGCATTTCAGAAAATAAACCTTTCGTATGCAAAAATGAAAATGTTTGTTGATTGTTTATAGGTGTATTTTGTTATTTTGACTGCCATTGAGTTGCGTTTCCGTTGCTGGTTTTATTTAAAAAAAAAATATTTTTTTTAATTTTAATCAAAATAGGTGCTGAAATTAACAATATTATATATTTGCTGGTCAAACTCGTTTTTTCGGTTGAACGCTCCCGTTTGTAGTAAACTGCTACAAACTAAATTGATTAAATAATGCTAAACTATGTACACAGTAAAAAAAAATACCTCTAAGCAACTCTAATTAGAGTTCACACAGGTCCACACTAAATAGTGTTGTTTTATAACACTACAATTAGAGTTAATTTGTAGTGTAATTGTAAGCAAGTATGATTTAACACTATAGCACTGAGGATAAAGTAATTTTACACTGTATTAAAAAGTGTTAATTCACCTAAAATCTTGTACTTCTACACTTTCTGGGTAAAATCCCACTTTAGTTCAGTGTAAATTATCACCACTTCTAAAGTTCTAATTTTAGAAAGGTACTTTTACTCTTTTAGTGCAAACTTCTAGTGTAAATTAACACTATGTGGTAGTGAATAAAACGAAAAGGTAAATAAAGGGAAAACATTTATTTGGAACAAAAATCTATGACAATTATACAAAAATCGGTGCCTTTTAAAATATCAATAGATCAATGCAATGTTTTACTGGGATTTAAGGATATTTGTATGATAATTTAAGGATCCGCCATGTTTTTTATTATATTTAGTTATTTCATAATTTTTGTAGGTCTTATTAAACTTTTATTTTTGTGGAAATTCATATAAATAATTTTATTTTAATAAAGAATGTTTATAATATAATTGTAATTTAACTTTAATTGTGATACAATGTGCACTAGTAGTGTAAAGAAAAAAGAGCTCTTAGTAACATCAAAACAGATAAAGAAATTGGCATGCACTGTAGTGTACATTTTGTCACTATTTAACACATTAAGGGGTAATAAACACTCGCATTAATTTTTCTACCCTTTTGATTTATTTTAATAATAAATAGTGTGAATGTACCAATAAATAATGTTCATATTCTTTAAATGTGTTTAATAAAGTTAATAAGCACTAAATGATACCTATAGGTATCATATATGATACCTATAGGTATCATTTAGTGCTTATTAACTTTATTAAACACATTTAACTTTATTAAACACATTTAAAGAATATGAACACTATAGTGTATTTTGTAGTGTAACTTTTACACTTACAAATCAACTATAATATTTTTACCCCTACACTAAAAAATTTACACGGGCATATTTCAAAGTTTCAAGTTAAATGAATCACCCTGTATATCCCTTTTTAAATTAATATTCCATGTTGATGAAATATTAATTTGGCGTTTTTAAAAAATTACCATATATTTGAATTTATTCGCTGCTTTTAAAAATCCTGTCGTTTGAAATTTTGACGTTGCATTTTTCATCAAAACAGCGAAAGCTAATACATGTGTGTGTGTGTGTGTGTGTGTGTGTGTGTGTGCGCGTGTGTGTGTATGCATCAAGTGACAGTGGAATAAAGGGTCCGTCAGCCGTATGAAACCAGCCCGCTTTTCCATTCTCACATAAAATCCAGTCAGTTTGTTGCAACACGTTGCTACCTACGTTTCGTTTGGTGTTTTTTTTTTTTAATTTTTCTTTTGCTCCCTTTGCTCTCGCCAACGCTGCCGAGAGGAAAAAGATTTTTATTTCGTTATTTTGTTTAGTTATTCACCCAGTCGTCTCCGTTTTCAATCGAATGTTGTTGTTTGTAGAAACACATTTCAGTATGTTTTGTATTTTTGTTCAAATGCAATTAATGGATTCTCAGGGGTATATTTACGCATGTTAATCAAAGTAATAAAAGATATGTGACAACAAATGTAATGTAAAAGAATAGAAAAAATACCAATATTACCAATTTACCACTACTATAAGTGGCACGGATTATAACAAAATAGTTAAAAATTGTACAATTCTGCGTCATGGTTAATTTTACCATTACAACTGGTTCGTAATAAATAGCTTACCACTGCAAATAGTAATTTTTTGACGTTTACGACTACTGTGGTTAATACTAATAACGTTATAATTAATGAAATTTGAAGGGGCAACGGAAAATTCGGCCATTTAGAGGTTGTCTGTTTACGGCTTTGCATAGTGCGTAGTTTTGTGATATCATACTGTTTTTATCGTGTTGTGAGTAGGTATGGAACTGTTATTAAAGGACTGGGATATTGTCGAACTACTCCCCATTTTAACCGGTACGGATCGTAAAACGCATTCTACCTATAAGTATTATAATATTGATTTTTGGGGGTTAGGTACCTACCTAATGCATATGTTACCGGCAAGGTTTTTACTTCTCACATTCACTAGGCAGTGTGCGCAACACTAATTTAGAAGAAAAAAAACTACAAACAAAAATTAAATTAACAAACACTTCTTATTTATATATTGGTTGGGTTGGGTTTTAACTGCATAATGTATTCAATTTCTCTAAAAATATTCGTTCTATAATTTAAGGATATTTGTACGATAATTTAAGGATCCGCCATGTTTTTATTATATTTAGTTATTTCATAATTATTGTAGGTCTTATTTAACTTTTATTTTTGTGGAAATTCATATAAATAATTTTATTTTAATAAAGAATGTTTTTAATATAATTGTCATTTATTTACTACCTTACCGTGCTGTTGAGAAAACCTAATTATAGGGGTAAGTGCAATCAATAATACAAATTTAACGATGATTTTGGCTAAGGTTCGCCCTACTGTTATATCCTGTTTTAAAAACTATTTTAAGTAGCTGAAATAATATACTAAGCGTACCATATACCAATATGTAGTCGTAAGTTTCAACAGTGTGTAGTGGTAAAAGTTTTTAATAAAACGGTTATTATATAACAACATGTGGTGGTAAAATTTAATTAAAGCAGTAGTGTTAACGATCACTTTGCTGTAATGTCAATTCGTAACAATAAATCATTTCCATTCTGTAATGGCATTGACATTTTTTATATTTGCCATTTAATTTTAATTCCTATAAAATAAATTATAATTTTATTAAAAAGGACCAAGAATACCCAATAATAAATCGTACCAATTAATTTATCAACGACAAAATTTTTTTAGCACAACCGAAATTTTAATACTTTTAGGTGAAAACTGCAAAAGCACAGGAGCCGGCATTCAGCATTTTCCAGACGCAAACCACTTTGTTTATTAGGTGTTGTGCTTTATGGCCCGAAATGGCGCGCGTGAATTAGTTTTATTTAAATTTAACACACTTTCCCCGAAATAAACGTTCATCCTCGGGGCTGTAAAGTGCCTTTTACAGTTATATCTGTATAGTTAAACCCTTTTCCCTATTATACAGTTGAACTATGCATGGGAACTTGGAACATTCAATGTGTAGTGGATTAATTATTTTTTCTACTACCATAGTTAGTTTATTAGACATTTTCTACCTGCACTATAATGAGATCCATTATAATACAAAATGTTTATAACGATACAGAATCATATATAACGAAGAGAATATATTCTTTAAAATAGTATAGTACATTCTGTAACAAGTTTGGAATATGTTATTCCAAACGTGTTTCAGACATTATTTTCTCTACGACTACGTAAGAATAATAACGCTTATATAATTTTAAACAGAGAAAAGAAACCAAGCACTTTTTGACATTTAAGTTTTTTGTATTGTCAAACCATTTTGTGCCGTCACAATTTTATAATGTAAATTATAATAAATTTAAACAAATGGTATGCCTAAATCTTTATTATAATTAAAAATAGTTATTTACACTAACTAATAAAAAAAATAACATTGTAACAAATACAAAACTAATTTTACAAGTAATCTATGTCAACATCTATTCTTTTTCTACATTTTAAAGGTCTTTTTTTAAACTTTTTGAATCTGTCAAAACTTCAAAGCCGGTATAGTAAGTAACTGGTTAATCATTTTAATATCAAATTTATTATAATTTTGATTTGTATATTTGAAAAACAATAAATATAACTAATTTTTTGTGCCTAAACCTTAATTATACAACTGCTATTATTTTTTAATTAATAAATAATACAGTAATATTTAAATATTTTTAAATTTTTTACGTTTTGTAAACCGTCAGGAGATGTCGTTACTTGTGACCATTCTTAAACAAGAGTAGGAATATTCTCGCACAGTATTGCAGAAAAACATCCTTTCTATGATCAAAAATTACACTAGAATGTTACTATTCTTAAGTAGTCGTAGATAAAAGTATTTTCTTAATTCACGTTGATTTACTTCAAGAATCTTTTCTTAATGTAAGAAAAATAAATTTCTTTATATAAAACTTTGATTGTTTAAAAGCAAGAATATATAATTTTTTAAATAAGGCAGCAATATTTACTTTTCAAGAATCTTTTCTTAATGTAAGAAAAATAAATTTCTTTAAATAAAACTTTGATTGTTTAAAAGCAAGAATATATAATTTTTTAAATAAGGCAGCAATATTTACTTAATTCAAGAAAATGTATTTTCTTTAACCAAATAATTGGTTAAAGCAAAAATATGTTCTTTTAAAAATAAATTAGTGGTATTCTTAAATAAAAAAGATACTTTATTCAAGAATAAATTTTCTTAAAACAAAAACATGTGATATTGAAATAAGGCAATAATTTTCTTAAATCAATATGTTTTCTATAACCCAATATTTTGTTTAATTAATAGATACATATTTAAAATTTTATTTTAATGTTTACAAAATAATATTTATTTTAAAACAATGCAAGAAGTATCGTTAAAAATAAAATGTATCTATCTTAATTTTAACCTACTTTTAGCAATGTTTCAAAAAATCTATCATTTTTTATTTAAAAGCAATAACATTTTAAATAATGATACGTCTATTAACTAAAAATTATTTATGTTAATTATAAAAACATGTTTATATTTAGTAATATTACTGCAAAATAAATAATATTTAAAATAAAAATACGTTTAAACACAAGGGGACTGGGGTAATTTTAAATATCCTGTAATTTTTTAAGGATTGTTGTCTAATCTTAAACAATACTTACAAATTATTCAAAATTAAGCCAAACTTACTGAAGGGCCAAAGAATACGTTGTATCGTTTCTAGGTGGTGCAGTAAGCAAAAAAATTTAGGTTAGAAAATAAAAAAACCAACGTTGAACAAACACATTTATTTTGTTTTTAATACAAGAAAAATCTAAAATGTATACATTATTATAAATTAACGTATATTTTAGGCATAGTAGAAAAGCAATTTCCAATTTTAAAAAAGAATTTAGGGCTATTGCCAATGAACTCCACCTTATATGAATCAAAATTAATGTTGTACCCCAAAGTGTGTAACAAAATTACTTCTAAAACAAAATCTTTTTAAATGTCATAAAATAAATTATTAAGTTAATTAACTTAAAATTATAGAGCCATACAAATCAGAGTGTTAAACACATAAGATATTTTGGTTATCACTGCAAAGCAAAATAATTTTAAGGCATCCTTAATGCATATTAGTGAATATTTAAACAATAAACCTATCTACCTACACGTAAAGGCGACGCTAAATTTAAAAAAGGGTGGTATATCAATAAGAACTTACTTACCTTCAATTTTTTTATAATTTTCTTCGATGCTGACCACTCTTCAAATAATTTTTTAATGAAATACGCCATCTCCCTTACAAATGCATGATTAGGCATAACATTTCAGAGGAACGTGTCGGCATCTCCACTCCTACACGATTTCAAAAATATGTATTCTTGGCAAAAAAAATACTGTTTATAAAATCGAATAAAAAAATTTAACAATATTTAGTAGCAACTACAAATTGCTGTTCTAGGTGTTGTAAGTTATAGTTATAAAAACGCATTATGTTTTTAAATTAAAAAATTCAATTTCGCTTGTTCATTTTCTCCTTATCTCGAATAACACGTGGAGATGTAAAAGCAAAGAATATAGCAAGGCGGCTGTTTTAGTCACATTTTCCTCGTCGATCACGATATCGTGTACGAATGTCTGCCATTTGCTTCTAATCACGTGTTTGCGAAATGAGTTTTCCAAAGGCAGGCCGCCGCGAAATAGAAATTGATGATACGCATTGCGAAGAAAATACACGTATAGAAAAGCGTCGCCATCTCGACGACTATGATTTATAAATGCGTTTTCGTCTCCGTCGATATCCGTTCGAGGAATTTTTTGATTGTGCCGTTTTTTATGCATTGAATTCCAAATTTAACTCGTTTAAACGACACGCGAAATGGGTTGCTCGCAGCTATAAACTGTCTGGAAATTATCCAGGGAACGGCTACAATTACTATGTATGCATACATACATTTACTTCGACAGCACATATAAAAATAAATTGTAAACACACAAAACCACAAGCCAAAATAACATCAATGTCTAGCTAAAATTATGACAAGCAGAAATGACGTCAAAATAAAATAATGACGAGCTAAAATGACTTCTAAATGAAATGATTACAAGCTAAAAGGACAAACAAATAAATGATGACAAGCTAAAAAGTCGTCAAAATAAACTCATAACAACCTTAACTGACGTCAAATTAACTGATGACAGGCTAAAAAGAAAACAAGTAAAAATTCCATGTTAAAATGAAATGTTTACGACCTATAAGGGCAAACAAATAAATGGTGACAAGCTAAACTGACGTCAAATAAAATAACGACGAGCATAAATGAGGACAGTATAATAAAAACAGGAAAAATACAACTATAGTCAAAATGAAATAAGTACAAACTAAAAGGACAAACAATTAAATGCTGACAAGCTAAACTGACATCAAATAAAATGATGACGAGCTAAACTGAAGTTAAAATAAAATTTAAAAAGTGACAAAACCACAATGAAAAATAGATAATAAGTTAAATAATGACAATTTAAAAATCAAATTAACGTCAAAATTAAATGATGACAAGCAAAAATTACGTAAAAATAAAATAATGACAAGCTTATATGACGTCAAAATAAAATAATGACAAATTAAAATAAAGTTATTCCGAATAAAGTGACAAGCTAAAATAAAAAAAATTAAGTTGATGATAAGTTAAAACAACGAATTTACCTAAAAATTAAATAATACTAAGCTAAAATAACGAGGACAGTCTAAAATAAAAACAAGTAAAAATGCCATGTTAAAAATACAACTAGTCGAAATTAAATGAAAAAATAAAAAAAAAATAATGACAAGTTAAAAAAAATTAACGTCAAAATTAAATGATGACAAGCTAATATGACGTCAAAATAAAATAATGACAAATAAAAATGAAGTTAAAATAAAATCATGACATACATCTCACAATAATGTGACGATGTGATGATGAAGTTAAAACAACGAATTTACCTCAAAATAAAATAATAATAAGCAATAAGCAAAAATGATAACATGCTAAAATGATAACTAGTAAAAATGCCATGTTAAAACTACACCCAGTCAAAATGAAATAATAACAAGCTAAAAGGACAAAATATTAAATGGTGACGAGCTAAACTGACGTCAAATAAAATAACGACGATTTAAAATGAAGTTAAAATAAAATTTAAAGAAAGTGACAAGCTAAAATGAAAAAAAGATTATAAAATATTGACAATTTAAAAAACAAATTTACGTCAAAAATAAATGATGACAAGCAAAAATGACGTAAAAATAAAATAATGACAAGCTTACATGACGTCAAAATAAAATAGTGACAAATTAAAATAAAGTTATTCAAAATAGAGTGACAGGCTAGAATAAAGAAAAAATAAGATGATGTTAAGCTAAAATAACTAGGACAGTATAAAATAAAAACAAGTAAAAAAGCCATGTTAAAATCTAAACTGACGTCAAATAAAATGATGACGAGCTAAAATAATGTTAAAATAAAATTTAAAGGAAGTGACAAGCTAAAATGAAAAAAAGATAATAAGATTAAATAATGACAAGTCATAAAACAAATTAACTTCAAAATAAAATGATGACAAGCAAAAATGTCATGTTAAAAATACTAGTTAAAATGGTGACGAGCTGAAATGAAAATAAAATAATGAATAACAAAAATTATGTTCAAATAAAATCATGACATGTTACTAACAATAAAGTGACAAGCTAAAATGGGATGATAATCAGTTAAGATGGCAATTTAAAACAACGAATTGACTATAACATAGTAGTCACAATAAAGTGACAAGCTAGAATAAAGAAAAAATATAAGTTGGGATGATAAGTTAACACAGTGAATTGACGTCAAAATAAAGTGTTGATAAGCTAAACGACATAAAAAATGACGTTAAAATAAAATGATGACAAGATAAAATTAGTATAGGCTAAAATGAAAACAAGTAAAAATGTCATGTTAAAAATATAATAACGATCTGAAATGACGTGAAAATAAAATTTTGACAATCTAAAATACAGTTGAAATAAAATCATGGCATGTCACAATTAAGGGACAAACTAGAATAAAAAGAAAATAGGATGATGATAAGTTAGGATGACAAATGACTTTAAAACTTATAAGATTATAAGAAGGTGACAATGTTACTCACGACATGTTCCTCCAGCTTTCCATACCTAATAAATCAAGATACACCGGTAAATCAAAGCAATCATGATTCTGCTTGAACATAGATACACATTGAACAAGGGCAGGCCTCAACAAATAATGATGCCCCACGGTCAGTGACTGGGGCAATGCGGGCGGGACCTCTGGGGAGCGGGATGAGTAGGGGGGTTCGGTTGGCAGCACTGGGAAGCAGAGATAGAGCGGCCGACACACGTACACATGTTGCAATACGGGCCAATTAGTCTGTGTGATTATTCGCATTGTGCGACTGCCAGATGGCCCTTTTGACCTGCCTAATTTGCCAAGCTGCACAAGATATACAGAGTGTTCAGAATAAATTTCAGTTAACAGAAATCAGAAGTCAAAAAAAAAGAATTGTAGATTTTTTGTGATATGGACAGTAGGGTGTCCCTTATTTTTATTTTTTTACGCATACCCTCTAATTATATTTATTACTTGTTTATATACTCCCAGTAAAAATTTCAGCTCATTCTATAAAGGGGAACCCGTGCCGACTTGCATCTGAACCCTCCGTTAGCCAACGTTAGGCGCGCGGTATTTTGTAACACGGTTGGTCGCGAGGTCTTCGATCGTAAGTCATTTTGTGTTTGTTATTATGTGACCCTTATATTATAAATTATTGACAAATGTTAAAATATAGTTTTATTTATGTGTATACTTTGATAAAAATGTATATTTTCACAGGGAGTGGCTAGTTACCCGGAAGGGTCTGGTGAATAGGCCGTAAACTCTGAAATTGATAAACGTAATGGGTTTTACTCTAAATAACTAAAAGAGTCTATTGTGAGAGATGACTACCGAAAACTTATTGAACTGTCTGAAATATTTTTGGGAGGACATCAAGAAAAGAAATGCTTATAAAAAGCTGAAATTTCATATAACAGTATATTTTAGCAATACTAATTAGTATATTAATATATTTAAGGGATAAAATCAACTAAATTAGTGAAACAAATGATAAAAACAAAAGCAATAATATTAATTAGTAATCATATTTAATAAAATCATTAGAAAAATACAGTCATGAAGTATATCTTCTTTTTAAAGTGTTACAAAATACCGCGCGCTTAACGTTGGCTAACGGAGGGTTTAGATGCAAGTCGGCACGGGTTCCCGTTTATAGAATGAGCTGAAATTTTTACTGGGAGTATATAAACAAGTAATAAATATAATTAGAGGGTATGCGTAAAAAAAATAAAAATAAGGGACACCCTAATGGACAGGTTTCTTAAGTATTTTTACATACATGACACATTTGTTGAATCAATTTGTTACTCATTCGGCGATAAAAAAGTCAGTGTTGACCATCACAGGTATAAAAACCGTTTTTGAAACAATGAAAAAAGCACAACGAATAATCAATATTGTGTGTGATTTCGCGAAAATTGTTCCAATTTCAACGAACAACGAAGCGAAAGCAAAATCCCGTTCATTAATATTATTTAATTAACAGAAACGAATTTGCTCTTCGCGCTGGGCCTCTACGAACGAATTTTATTTTAATTATAAGCCGATTCTCATTAAAACAACATTAAATTCGACTGAAGCGTTTGTTGAATTTTCTCGCAAAAGATGTTTTGGTTGCTTTATTGTCTATCGTATTAAATGCAACGTGGTTTTTTATTAAAGCAAGCTAACGTCAATACTACAGCATTAATTAATTAAAATTACTATTTTGCAATATATTCTGTAGATGAGTTGTGTTATTATTTTATCTTGATGCCATTTTTTATGACGTAATGTCATACTTATGTTAATTAAAATGTTTACTTTGACAGCACATATCAAAATAAAGTGAAAAACACAAAACCACAAGCCAAAATAACATAGATGTCTAGCTAAAATTATAACAAGCGGATATGACGTCAAAATGAAATGATTACAAGCTAAAAGGACAAACAATTAAATGATGACAAGCTAATCTGATGTCAAATAAAATGATGACGAGCTAAAATGAACTTAAAATAAAATTTAATGAAAGTGACAATCCAAAATAACAGTCTAGCTTAAATTATGACAAACTCAAATGACGTCAAAATGAAACAAGCCAAAAAGACAAACAATTAAATGATGACCAGCTAAAAAGTCGTAAAAATAAACTCATGACAAGCTAAACTGACGTCAAATAAAATGATGACAGGCTAAAATGCCATTTTAAAAATACAACTATATCAAAACGAAATGATTACAAGCTTAAAGGACAACCAATTAAATGATGACAAGCTAAACTGACGTCAAATAAAATGATGACGAGCTAAAATTAACTTAAAATAAAATTTAAAGAAAGTGACAATCCAAAATAACATCAATGTCTAGCTAAAATTATAACAAGCGGAAATGACGTCAAAATAAAATGATTACAAGCCAAAAGGACAAACAATTAAATGATGACAGCTTTAATTTTGTAATTTTTGTAATTAAGTTAAATTTAAACACAATCTGGCAACTTTTTTGACAGAATCTAAAAACGCTGCTTGTTGCCAACCATAACTAAATAAATTAAATTGGCAACCAGATTAGCCTAAAGTTCCTAGTCGATCAGTGGCGTACCACCCATTTTAATATATTACAATAATTACATACACCCTGTATTTGTTTCTATAATGGTTTAAAGCTACTTTGACAATAAGTCCACAATTACCATGGAACCAAATGTGGAAAATTACTGTCGTTAACGTTTATACAATACCAAATAGTTCGATAACAACCAACAGTTGGCATATAAAATAAAATGAAATTCAAATTAAAATCATTAATTTATCGAAATTTAACAATTTATCTATATAGGATTGTAATTTAATACGTTTAAATGCTTTGCAAAGTATAAAATCCTAAATGGTTTATGGGGATGATAATGGTATGATTATCGGTCAATAAATCAATCGGGGGTGGTTTCAAACCTATATTTTGGTCATTGTTAATGTATAAAGTAAATCCCCAGTGACGTAATGGTACAGTGGAGACCAAAAGTTTTGCTTCTAATATGTATGTTTATACGTTATAAAAATCGTGTAAAAACTTAACAACTGTCCAGAGTGTTTATAATACATGTCTTTTTTCGTATTAGGTGTTTATAATTAAGTCTAACACTTTTTGTTGATATAATTTATATAGACAAAATAGTTATAGTTAAAGACAAAATAGTGGAAGTGGTTATGGAAGTGGCAGAGAAAGAGAAAGGAGACGAACATTTATGTCGTTGTAAATTTGTTTTGTTTTTGTTGCGGTACCTTTACGCCCAAGAAAAACCAACGCAATATTTCATTACAAAATTATATTAGACATACCTACTACTTTAATTTTGCAGGAATATTAAATGGACCTGATATACGACGTTTAATGAAAGATCAAGCATTCAAAAATGCTCTCAAAGTTGACGCATATGGCAGTGTTAAAGCTGTCATTGAAAATGTTCTTGCTTCATATCGGGCCTAAAATTGGCGCCAATTCATTGAAAAAATGCTTTCCGTTTTGCAAAGAATTAGCGTTAATATGTCATTTAAAATACATTTTCTTTTTTTTTTCATCCTGATAAATTTGCCGAACTGATGAACATGGAGAACGATTTCACCAAGTAACTGCAAATCTAGAGTATTGATAGATATCTATGGGTATAGCGGAAAGAAGTTGAATTCATTGCTAGGAGACATTTGCTGAAATTTGCAGCAAAAGATGTACGACGATGATGAGGATTAAGCACAATAATACTATAATTCAATTTGATATTTGATACCATTTAATAAATTTAAGGTAGAAAAATGCAAAATTATGCAATGCATTAAATTTTGTAGGCTTAATTTGGATAAAAAAACCGAAACTTGTTTACTTTGTTGCCCTTTCAATTCAATAATTAAAATAAACGACAAAAAATGTCAAATAATGGTTGTTTTTTTACATAAAATACATTAAAATTTTAGTTTTAGAATTTCAAATGTCATATTGTTTAGATAAATATGATCTATTTGTTGTATACCAATTACTTTAGTACATTCAAGATAAATTTAAGCCAAAATAATTTAATAAATAATTAAAATACCAACAAAAACTTACATTTTGAGGTGATTGAGCAGAGCATTTTATTACGAAATTATTTTAAATCCCAGACGTCCTAGAGAAAAACTAATGACATTTTTAAAATCAGCGGCCCAAAATTAGTTAAACTAAGCTGGAGGACTTCATGTTGGGAAAAAAAGTTTGTAAAACTATCATAGTGTAATTAGTTTGGGACGATTATTATTAATTTTTTGTTCTGTGCGGATTTATCTGACTATAGTGACCTATAGGTGTTTTATTAAATAACTTTGTATTAAAAACCAGTGTCGTGCATTCTTTTAAAATAAGGTCCTTTTTGAAATTTTTTACAAAGTTGGACCCGTCACAGATAGGTTCATTTTTTATATTAATTGAAAAAAGAAAAAATACCACAAAATTTTTTTATACCTGATTCATAAGAATGTCAAGAATGGCAAAAACATTACATTACTTTATCCATCACGCGTACAAAAATGAAAATATTACAATGCCCTCCCGCGCTATACAAGACGACGTAAAAAATGCGCTCTTTCAGATTAAACAAATGACTGCCGTCAAAGTGGCGGGTCGCGTTTTTCATTTTTTTTTTTCGTTCGATTTCTCCTGCAACTGCGGCGTTTATTGTCTTGTACCGAACCCCACGGAACACACACAATGGCCCTTGTTATACGCGGCGGCAATGTTCGACAAAGCCACCGCCGCCGCAGATTTGCCGCCCCCAGGTTCAAGGGGAGCCTTTGCCGCCGCCGCCGCCGCACAGACAGGTATTTTGACCTAAAATGTGGCCAAAACTCAATATTGTTGATTTTTATTACTAGGCCTAACTCTCTTAAAATGAAAATGAAAAAGCAAACTCTAATAATTAGTCAAATTCTACTGAATTAAATAATCAAATTAGTAGATGTAAATTTAAAAAAAAATTGACCCAGCCGGGGATTGAACTCAGGTCTGAACTTGTCAAGCTGTTGTCCTATTCGGCTATCAGCCGCTCTTATAAAAATCAATTTTATTTGTCAATAAATATTGTTCATAATATTTTAAAGTTGAATATATTATTTGTGTTGCTGTTTTGAGCTAAACTTTTTGCATTTTTATTTGTTTTTATGGGTCATTTAACCATGGAGCTTAGGTATATGCATCTAATTCAAATAATACTTTGTTGTTGGCCGCAAACGATTAAAGAAATTAGTTACTTTTAACTCTTAGAAATAGTCAAATATGGTTACTAATCTTATATTAGTCAAACTTTAACTATTTACGTAGTAAAAAATACACTGAAAAAAATTATCTTACTTTTATTTTACTTTTGTAGTAGTAAAGTGACTTTGACTAACTACAACAGGGACAATGTTATTAGGATTAATATTAAATGAGAGATACATACCACTACGAAATGGTATACTCTGTAAATTAAATTTACCACTACTATAAGTAGCACGGATTATAACAAAATAGTTAAAAATTGTACAATTCTGCGTCATGGATAATTTTACCATTACAACTGGTTCGTAATAAATAGCTTACCACTACAAATAGTAATTTTTTGACGTTTACCACTACAGTGGTTAATACTAATAATGTTATAATTAATGAAATTTGGTACGAATCAAGAAGCAACGGAAAATTTGGCCATTTAGTGGTTGTCTGTTTACGGCTTTGCATAGTGCGTAGTTTTGTGATATCATACTATACTGTTTTTATCGTGTTGTGAGTAGGTGTGGAACAGTTATAAAAGGACTGGGATATTGTGGAACTACTCCATTTTACTCCATTTTAACCGGTACGGATCGTAAAACGCATTTTACCTATAGGTATTATAATATTGATTTTTGGGGGTTAACCACAGGGTGGTCTGTGGGGTTAACTATAACTCGTTTTCTCTCGATGTTTTAAAATAATACCTACCTAATGCCTATGTTACCGGCAAGGTTTTTACTTCTCACATTCACTAGGAAGTGTGCGCAATAGGGTGTGCCAAAAAAACTCGAAATAGTTTTTTTCTTGCTCTCCACCCAAAATATCAAAATCAAATCAAAAATCAAAAATATTTATTCATGTTTTTGTATAAAATAATTATTATAATTGTAAAAATAATTTCAGGTATAAAATAAGTGGTGTATATATAAAAATGAACAAAACAAATGTGCCTGGCACGTAATGTTCATCATAAAGGAGGTCACTATATGTACGCTGTAGCGCAATATAGCAACCCCCCTGGCCGATGTTTTGGCCTACCCGAAACCATGATACAATTAAAAATTGTCTCGCAGCTCGCCATTCCCTTCGCTCATCCGATACAGGGGCAATATTGTTTAGATGTTTTGAGTGTAAAAAATTGGAGACTGTCAGTTTATGCTTTTTTATAATTTATGGTATAAGTATTAAGGGAAAAAATGTAAAAACCCTTTCAAAAAAATATCGTAGAATATGTCCGAACAAATATTCTGTTAAAAGCGGAGCTCATAATTTCAATTTTAAGAGGTCCCTCATCGAATCTGAAGTTTTGCCGCTTAAATAGCACAGAAAACTGACCTTTTTACCTTATTTATTCTTGCAACCTAGGAAGAAATTTTTTTTTCATAAAATCCATGACCAAATCTTACAAAGCATTAAACTTGGACGAAAAAATCTTATTAAGCCGAATTTCTATTTTCATTATTTATTTTTTTACAGAGCTTTAAATTTAAAATTTTACGTTTTTTGCCTTTTTCAGCTAAACTATTGAAGTTAGACGAAAAAGTCAAATGGTAATTTTTTAGCTTGTCTGATGGACCACAAAAAAGTTTCAGGCGAATTTTTTATATCCTCAATATTCTAAAAGTTACAGGCGTATAAAGTCATCATTTTTGTATTATTATCTTTAAATTTAAAGCTATGTAAAAAATTAAATAATGAAAATAGAAATTCGGCTTAATAAGATTTTTTTGTCCAAATTTAATGCTTTGTAAGAATTACTCATGGATTTTACGAAAAAAAAAAATCTTCCTAGGTTGCAAGAATAAATAAGGTAAAAAAGTCAGTTTTCTGTGTTATTTAAGCGGCAAAACTTCAGATTCGATGAGGGACCTCTTAAAATTGAAATTATGAGCTCCGCTTTTAACAGAATATTTGTTCGGACATATTCTACGATATTTTGGGTGGAGAGCAAGAAAAAAAAATATCGAGTTTTTTTGGCACACCCTAGTGCGCAACACTAATTTAGAAGAAAAAAAAACTACAAACAAAAATTAAATTAACAAACACATGTTATTTATATATTGGTTGGGTTGGGTTTTTACTGCATAATTCAATTTTTCTAAAAATATTCGTACGATAATTTAAGGATATTTGTACGATAATTTAAGGATCCGCCATGTTTTTTATTATATTTAGTTATTGCATAATTTTTGTAGGTCCTATTTAACTTATATTTTTGTGGAAATTCATATAAATAATTTTATGTTAATAAAGAATGTTTTTAATATAATTGTCATTTATTTACTACCTTACCGTGCTGTTGAGAAAACCAAATTATAGGGGTAAGTGCAATCAATAATACAAATTAAACAATGATTTTGGCTAAGGTTCGCCTTACTGTTATATCCTGTTTTAAAAACTATTTTAAGTAGCTAAAATAATATACTAAGCGTACCATATACCAATATGTATTCGTAAGTTTCAACAGTGTGTAGTGGTAAAAGGTTTTAATAAAACGGTTATTGTATAACAACATGTAGTGGTAAAATTTAATTAAAGCAGTAGTGGTAACGATCACTTTGCTGTAATGTCAATTCGTAACAATAACTCATTACCATTCTGTAATGGTAGCAACTAAGGTTCTATTGGTTGGCGCCTATTTTACCATTACCATGGGTACCGCTGACCGCTTTTTTCTTTCAGTGTAACTATTTAAAAGTGAAAACGATTATTTTATTAGTAAAAAATTTTGGTACTAATTCAAATAGTAGAATTTAAGAATTGTCAACAATACATTTAAAGCACAGATTATACATCATTTTTAAATAAATATAGGTATAGTTTTTTTACAAAAGAGAGGAAGGCAGAAGTCTTACTCGACAAATTTTGTTTAATTGCACAGCTAAATCTTGGTACTCGATTTCGATTGATTATTCTTTATATGATTGATTAAGAAACTCAACGCTTAAATGCTTGTATTACGTTACGTTAGTGTGTGTATTTTATCAAAGGGATCATGGTGAATTATTGTGTTTTTAATTGTAAATAAAATTCAAGAACTAAATCGTTGCATTTTCATGTTTTGCCAAAGGATCCAATTCGGTAAGTACATTTGAGGCGTTTCTCGGAAAAACATCATTAGTCCAATATCGTCGAAATTTAGATATTAGCACCAACTGTTCCCTAACCTCCATATATACGTATACAAATAAGTGTTTCTGGTAAAA